GTTGCAGACTGGCATCAGGTGCTACAGAAGGGTTTGCATGACCTACCACACCACAGCACAGTGGTGTCAGGTGTTACAGAAAATCCCTTGAGTAGGGATGTAACTAAAAAATGAAAATGAAACAACTGCTGAGGCTGAATTCAAATTTTGGCTTCTCTGTGGTGGTGTCATAGTTACAAGCCTCTCATAGAGTGTCTTAGAGGATTCTCTCAAGAAAACTTTAGAAAGAAATGAATTGATTTTCTGCATTCTGACATATTTTGGAGAAAAAAGGTAGCCATTTAGATTTGTTGAAAATAAAGTGGGGGTACAATTGGTGGTTGGAACCTCTTTTACCCTTTCCCACCAATGGCGCCGCCACTGTTTCTATACCAAAGCCTTATGCAGCATAGACTGTAGAAACCCCGATTCGGTATATCGTTTCAACGTTTTCTTCCTCCTAGAATGTATTCTGTGACACAAGTTAAGTTCAATCAGTAAAAAGATAAGAAGGAATTTCGAGGTGAAAAATTTTGTTTGTTTGAAAGATTAGACTTGCTCTGTGATTAAATCTCGTTCAAATTTTAGACACAATTTTCTTCTTTCAGTATTCACGTCTTCACTTTCTTTTCTCTTTTCAACTATTATTTCACAGATTTGACTTTTATTTTTTTTAACTCTCGTCTTGACTAGATTAATTATTATTCAATACATTCTCAAGATACAAAGGCGAGTCGCCCTTTTTTCTGGGCATAGCTATCATTAGAGACTAGATGTCAGATGATCAAGAATGATGATCCATTTGTACCCGTGGTTCACTTCACTTTTTTGTCAGCTTTTTTAATTCAAACTTTAATAAGTTTCTTTAAGATTTTTTGGAGAAAAAAGGTAGACATTTAGATTTGTTGAAAATAAATTTGGGATACAATTGGGGGTGCAAACCACTTTTCTAGTGCTCCCCTGTACCCCCACTGGGCGTTTCTAGAAATCATTATATGGAGGGGCCATGAAGTGAACATAGAATTGTCAAGTTGACCAAAGGCATCACAGCACAATGCATTTAAGAACTCAATGATCTTAAACTGTGGCCTGGGTGACGAAAGCCTGGCAAGTCTCATTTCTAGTGTGTGAGAGGAGGGTAGGGTAGGGGGTGTGAGAGGAGGGTAGGGTAGGGGATGTGTGAGAGGAGGGTAGGGTAGGGGGTGTGTGAGAGGAGGGTAGGGTAGGGGATGTGTGAGAGGAGGGTAGGGGTGGGGCATAAACGCAACTGCAGTGATGTGTACTAATTTCAACTTATAAATTGACTTGACAAATTTGACATTTTGTTATTCAATGTTTTAATGATGCAGATGGAGTCAACGTGAATTTATTTAAACAGTTATTGTATCTTGTGGGTTTATTTACTTGAGAATTAATTAGAATTAACCATGGAACTTCATTAATATACGTTAGGCATAATATAACTTTATTTTAAATAGGCTGACTGTTTACTTAATCAACTTGTAATGCTGGAAGATTGTCAGTTCATTGAGGTGGATTTATATTGCTTTATCTCGTTTTCCAATCTTTTGGACGATATCTCCCGTAACATCTTCATCTCTTGCAAGTAGAAACTTTGGCCAAATATCAAGAACTAGTTTTTGGTAATAGTCTACGAGGATATTGGATATTCTTTTTTACCTGGTATTCTTACTAGTCAATTCCATTTCACTGTGAAAACTATAGCGGGGCGTAAAACTCGATTTTTTTTTGACTGTCAATTGAAGGTTGTGTGGGTGATATGGGAATAGACAGACCCGTAAACAGACTTGATTGTTCGGGAGAGGGCGGGGGGGGGGGGGGGGGGGGGG